ATTCATTCATTGATAATACTTTTTTCTCCAAACTTATAAACTTTAGTAGATTTTTTTATTAGTGTTTTATTTATTCATGATGAAAAATAAAGAAAACCTGAATTTTGGTTATTCATAATGAAGCGAAGATTTTTGTAGCGTTTATACAAAACTGAACTGACCGGTTATTTTATGTATTCTATATTTTAGATATAATTGAATGAACTCCCGCTACAAATTATGCATAAAATTAAATATTATGTAATTTAAATTTCGTAGAATAAATTAAAAAACTTGACAATAGACTGATGTTATTATATATTCATACAAAACGTTTTCTAATATTTTGAGAATTTTTATTTATTGTATGTGCAAAAATCTCATAAAATTAAAAATTTTGCTTAATTAAAATTATTTTATAAATTAATTTTGGTTTAGTACAATTTAAGTTAAATAAATAGTATTTGATAATAATTGTCATAATTATTATCAAAAATAATAATAATAAAGATAAAAAATATCAGTGAAAAGCATTTAATAGATAAATTGTAAATATGTGTGGCGGCTACCAGACCTACGATATAATCAACTTGAACATCGCGTTCGAACATCTCGTTCGAACATATGAATTGTTGAAACATTATATGTAAATATTGTAAATAAGTACCTGAAATAAAGTAACATTTCCTTTTGAACCGAGATTTTCTTTTGGACGATTCGACGATTAGGACGATTACCCAATACCTGGCCAAACTTCATTTGTATTAGAATCGACGAATTAGGATGATTGACTATTGGAAGAAGAACGATAAAAGGCTGATGAGTAGAACGATTCATTCATTTATGATCATTGTGGGACCCATAGCAACTGTCTGGGGAATGAAGAGCGTCCCGATTTTAAATAAATGAAGCTTTTGGACTACTAGCGTTAGTAAGGTAACTGAAAGTATCGGTACTTACATATAAATGCGTGGATAGACATTTATCACATAAGGGAGCAAAGTTTTTTCCATAACCTACTCCAGAATAAAACAAAAGGAAAAGAACACTTCCTCTTGGAGTGTAGATGACGTACAAATTATTTGAAATCGCGTATAGAGAACAGAAATGTCTATAGTGATACCAGATGTAGCTAGTTTTCTAGATTCTAGTATGTTTTTTAAAGTGTCAATATTTTTTGGTAAGCTAAAAAATTCTGGAAATTTTAATCTTTTATATCTCAGTTGTATAGTCCCACAGCAGTTTGAACTTGATATTGACTATGCTTCCATTCAAACTGTGTTCAAAGACGTGTTCTAAAATTTAACTTTATTCCCAGCTTTTCTACAAATTCAGAATACACTGTTTATTGTTAATTAATATCTTTAACCATATGACACTACAAAGCTACGGAACTTGAGGACGATTGTAATAGTTTTGTAAACATTTCTTGACAACCTTAGTACAAATCAAGTGTACTTTGTTAATATATTAAGTTTTACCTCTCATAATAATAAAATTCACCAATCCACCTAACCATTATTAACATCAATATCGTGGTGCAGATTTCTAAAAGGTTGCAATACATCGTTTGTTTGTTTAAGTACTGAGCTTTTTGTATTCTTATCTACTATTTAACTTCTTCTCACAATATATTATAGTAGATCATAATAATTTCCAAATATAAGCTAATGACGAAATTTTCTGTAATGTGTAACATTTTCTATTATTCATTTTTCTGAGAAACGATTTCCTTAAATTTAAAACATTTTATTATTTTAATAACTACAAAGAAACAGCCTTTCTCAGTGGCTCATCTTAACCTACACTATCATCTTAAAGTTTTGGGTTTTTCTAAAGTCGCGAAATTTCAACTCTGTTTGGAATTGAGTAAGACGTTTTACGATTTCCTCAAATTTTTTGAGACTATGTGACTGTGACAGAGGTTACGAAGAGAACGTTCGAATTGGAGCTTTTGTTATCATTTAACACTACAAACTTTTCGAGGAGGTACAGTTTAACATTTATTCAAAAGATTGTTTGTCCAGTATTTGGTTAGAGATACAGTTTTACCCTTATTCAAAAGATTGTTTGTCCAATATTTGGTTAGAATCAGTTGTAGACATTTAGATCGACTTTTACAAAGATGCTTCACCTAATTGTAGGCCTTTTTTATATCTGAGAACTACTCAAATACAAAAAGTTTAAAATAACTTTGTTTAAAATTCTGATACTTTTTAAGTTGAAGTATACTATATAGTATCATTTGTTTTTAAAGCAACCTTTTCTATTTTTCTAAGATTTGTTGTGTCTTAGAATGTTTTATGCATTTTTATCACTTTTTATATCAGCGTTACTAAACCCTTAAATAGAAAAATTAGTATGTTTCGATGAATTCCTTAAAGTAACCATTCTTCAATTTCTATCGATTTTGTAAAATAAAGATTATATTTTTTGTAAAAATATATAATGTGATATTGTTTGTTATCTGTCTTTAAAAATAGTTTGTTATAACAAAGTAGATATATCGTTTCACAATAGTTCAAATCTGATGGTCGATAAATCTAATTTGTTATAATTATAATACTTCAATATAACAGATATGTAATTGTATAATTATAATTAATTATAAGTAAGTAATAAGTGATTATTATTTATTTGACATTAACAAAACAGTAGACTATACCTAATTTTTCTAAAATTTCCACGATTTTTTTTTTTGAGACATGTTTTTCAATAACGTTAATTACAACATTTAGGTCGTGTGCGAGTTAGGCTAAGTTGATGGTAAACCAAATGGGAGATTTTTTGGGATTTTTTGCATTGCACACATCGGCATATCTTAAAATTTCCCTCATTTAGAACGCAAGTAGCCCAACTCGCACACGTTCTTAATTTATTTACTTTTATAAAAAATTTTATTTTCTAGTCGTAGATTTTTTAAATTAATAGAATAAAAAATTTATTACATTATCTTAGTAGGTAACAGTATGACATTAGCTGACAAAGATCTTCCAGAAAGTATATTCTTAATCTTCGTTGTGGATTATCGGTTAATAATAAAGTAGTGGGGTGTAAGCACTTTCTTCATATTTCTCAAAGCTGAAAAAAAACCTGCAATATTTTATTATGATTATCTAACTGATACCTCGCTCTAAAGCTGATATCTATACAGGGCAACTTAATGAGATTGGTAGATTTTTTCTTATTTCAATCTCATTTACAGATGTTTGCATATTTTTGCATCTTCTCATCTTGTACGAGTATAATACATAGATATACATAGATAAATTCAGAAATATTTTCGTATATATCTGTTATTATTTTGTTATATCACACCTTAAGTAATTGTCAATATAGTGACTGATTTGACACCTTTTAGTTTCTTCAATGTTTTTCTATTGTGTTATATTAACAATATTTTTAAAATTTTAACTGTTTTTATACAATTAGTTGTAAGACTAAGTAAGCAAAATATATAATTTGAAGTAAATTAAAATATAAGATACATTTTAAAGCACATGCAAAATGAATGATTTTATATGGAAGGAGTATACATGCATATATATACATATGTACATATATTTGTATATTCGTAAAATTTTAATTTTATTTTCTAATACATTTTCATATCATATGCAAACTATCAATATATATATATTTATATATGTGATGCATATTACTTAGATAGTATTGTTTTTTAGAATATTTGTGGATTCGCTTTTTTAAATATTTCAATTTTTTTTAAAAAAGATTTATGTAAAAAAAATAAAAAAGTATGAATTTTTTTTTTTCTTTTTATATAGTTCTCTCTATAAATACAGCCAACGTTTCAAAGTTTCTTACACCTTTTCTCAGAGTGGAATATTATTATAACTCTAAAGCAAACTTCGAAACGTCGGCGATATTATTTTAATTTTTAATTGTTTAATTTTAATACTATTCTGTTATTTATATATTCTTTCTTATGTGTAGAATCTAATCTAGGTACGTAATACTGAGAAAGTCATGCTAATGTTACCACACAATTCACACGGGCGGGACCAATATTTTGTGAATAGAAGTTGTAATTTAACGTCATTTTTAAGACGGAAATGACTACTATATTTAATAGAAGCTAATATATTTCATAAAGAGGTTTTCGAAAAGTAATGAACTACAGCAATAAAAATTCCTTTTCATATTATTTTAATTAATTGAATTTTTGGCTGACCATAGAGCTGTTTCGAGTATTGCCAAATATCCACCATTAGTGGTCTTGGAAATAATTCTTATTCCTTTATAATTTCTTTTTGAGACTACAAGTACCAGGAATCGAACTTGTGTCCTGTCAAATTTAAAATAAAATAACAACTAATTTATAATTTTTTAATTTTATGCACATAAAATAGAAATATTATTCTTTTGAAATAAGTTTTTATTAAAATTGTCACCTATTAGCACTGATTTCTTTCACTGAATAAATACAAAAACCCTCATTTTCTTTGGCTTGGAGTTGCTTGATCAACATTTGATTAGATTACATATCATCTATAAATATAATCTGTAAAATATGCATAAATTCTTCGCCTATCAGTGAGACTATGCACATTTCTTCAGACCGGGAAATACCGGCGAGAGTTGCAAAACGAGCTCTTTGAAGAATGGAATTTCACGCAATAACAAAGCGGTACCGATTATTAACATAAGCCGGCATTTGTTTTTAGCAAAAGCTAGAATATTTATGTTTCTAAAATATCTATTTTATGCGAATTTATCGCATTTTTAATTATAAATTCACATAATAACCCTGAACTTGAAATATAGACAACGAAACTTGTCTCTAATAACGAAAAAACGATAATATAAAAGTCAACGCATGGGCACTTGAAACGCCTATTGTCGGTTTGCGCTTGGCACCGCGCAGTGTAATTCGAATCTCAACTGGCTCACAACAGTCTGAAGCATTGAGGCGCTGAAACTTCGATTGAGGAAGCAACTAGAAACGTCGTCAAGTGTTGTTAAATTTCAAACAAAACTCAAACAAAACTCAAACAAAAAAAATCAACAGTAATGTTTAAATTTTTTACTGTAAGTTAAATATTCTCATCTGAAAAATAATACAAAAAAAAACGGTGTGCAAACATGATAATGTTGATTTTAAACACAAAATAAATTAAAATTCCTAATAAAAATGTCAAAATGTCTATTAAAAATTGATTTAAATTATATATAGAATCCGCTTTTGTTAATTATTGTAAACACTTTGTTTCAATATTTCAAACCTTTTTAATTATTTGTGCACTTATACACTAACTCATACTTTATTGTAGTTAAAATTCTTTTTTTAATAAAAATAATTTTTTTAATTCAATTAAGATTCTCTGCCTCGTGGGCTTAGCTACTGCTGCGAACTTTGGCTATAATTACCAGAGTGCGGTCAGTTCACAAACGCCAGTTGCAACTGGCATTGGCAACATAAAAACAGTGCAACCTGCCGCTAGTGCGCAACATTTGCAAACTGCACCTTCAACTGTTGATTTCGTGAAACATTTTTACTATTTTTCCGCACCTGAAGAGAAATTAAGTCAACGAGAGGTCATACAACATGCGGCGTCGACACCGGTGCAGAAGAAATTAAATGTTGTTGTCATAAAAGCACCAGAGAATCATAGTTACCAGAAGGCAGTACAACAGTTGGTGCCGAGTGCCACCAACGAACAAAGAACACAAATTTATGTGCTTAACAAGGAGCCCAGTCATGCTGCCTCTGTGAATCAGCACAGGCAAGTACAGTATGTGCAGCCAGTGCAGCATGTGCAACATAAACCAGAGGTACACTTCATAAAGTATCAGACCTCAGACGATGTACAACGTATACAACAGAATATATTACAGCAGTACGGCATTTCACCAGGACAAGTGCATACCGTCACTGCTCCAGTTGTTAACTTTGTTGGCAGTAGCACTCCTGGCAAGAGTTCATATCAAACTGCTGCCACAAATGTTAATCGTGCTTATTTAGCACCGAACACTAAAGTTGATAACAATTATGCTAAGAACTTTTTGCCCAATGGTGTTGATGTTGTACCCGGAAGTTCCTATTTACCACCAGCATTGGTATTATAAGTGTTCCGTGGAATTTTCTTTCAATTATTAAAATTTAATGAATTATGTTATGATTTATTTTATTTTTATTTTAATTTTTTTTTTAATTACTCACATTCCAGCTGCCATTTAGACTTGTTTTTTTTTTACTAGTTTTGTATAGAAAAGCTTAATTGTAAATAAAATATGTAGTATTTAAATTGAGTTTTAGCGAATAAAATAGTAACCATAATATATATGTAATAACATGTTATTATAAAATACAGCATTTAAAAAAAAATAAATTTTTATTATATATGTATATTATTTGTTTTTTTATGTAGACAATAAATAATTTTAAATTTAACATATTTAAGTAAATATTTTTCTAAATAATTTTTGTTCTAATAATATTCTTACCATTCTTACTTGTCGCGCAACTAATGTGGTCTATTGTGCTGGACCCAGTTGTTTTAACCTATCACTACGTCATGGTTTTAATTTATGAACATGAACACCTTTTCTTTTCTTTATTCCAGTTGTAATATGAGGCAACGAATTTGTGCTCAAGATAGATAAAAATTTCAAATCTTCCACTTAAAGTCTCAAATTTCTTGATCTTCAACTAGGTATTTCATATAATTTGACATGAAAGCATCTTGATAGTCCTGATAGCATGGATTCCTGCTCCATACTATTTACTAATAATGTCATATTTGTTGAAACAATACTTTTACGGTTAGCACAAATAATTCTCTTATCTGTAATATATATAACATATATTATATATATATACCGTATGCTTTTATATATATATATAAAAGCAACTGTTTCAAAATGTGTCTTAGGACCCATTCTAAACACATCGTTCAGTGAGCTGATATGATATCACTCATGTAACGTATTCTTGGCAACAGAGCGGGATAACAAAATTTTCATTATATCTAGTTAATAAAGTTTATAGGTACTAATTATAATCTAAATTTTGCTTAATTGAAACGTGATTTTATTACCGGTAAATAAAAAAAATAAACAAGTAATGGTAATACGATTGTAGATTCTTTGAAAAATTAAACGAATTGACTGCTCGTTAAATTCATAATCCCAAACCAATTGTTTGGAAAAACATTGTTTTATCTCACAAAACTATTATAAAGCTTGTGTAAACACATGGTATATAATTGAGGAACTGTGCAATGCTATATAATTTTAACTCTAATATTTAAGTTCCTTAATATCATCAGTCAAAAAAATGCTCACAACAAATCAACAAAATACAATAGATAGATACATAGAATAGATAGAAGCACAATAATAGCTTAGTTTTAAATCTAACAGATAACAGTTTAACAACACAATTTCGAAAGAAATTTAAATACTTGAACTGCTAGATAGTTTTGGGTACTGCTATTATCATTTATTGTATATAGCAATATATATTATAAATAGAATATAATAGTGAGTTTCATTGTAAGCTTCTATTGTTGAATAAACTTATTTATTGTCTTACTATAGTTATTATTATGAATGGACATAATATTGGTACCTTAATGTATAAATTGGTTTTAAACCCTGAGTTTTTCCTAACACAATAGGCTCATTGTAAGTGGATCCACTAGGGATCGCCGTTATAACCTAACCTATCCTTATGTATGTATAATATTGGCTATAAAGTGTACATAAGGTAAATATATTGGTTTCTTACTGTGCACAGAGTGATTCAATAAGTTTTTGTTTCTTAATAAATAGTAGTGTTTGTCCTTCTTTTGGGAGTTATTCCCTATGTGTGTCTTAATAGTGTTTGTCCTTGTTTTGGGACTTTTAAGTCAAGTAAATAAATTTGTTATAATCTTTGTTAAGCATGGACATAATACCTTTAAAATCTGTAGTACTGTTTTAAGTTCTACTTTTTCAATAAACTGTTGTTTTTGTTGTGTGTTTTATTAGAAAGTGCAGGTGAAATGCTTTCACCGAGTAGTTAGCTGTGTTCTGCTACTTTGTAAAATACACAAATTTAATTCTATTAAATTCTTAAATTGTTGGGATGATAATTTAACCAACTGAGTTTAGTTAGAGATTCTACTAAAAGTTTTTTTTTTGATAAATTAAAATAATCTTTATATGGGCTTAAGTTATAGATCACTACAATCAAGAATATTACTTATTTTATTAGGACGGATTCTTTGACACTATAGTCGAAAACGTTGGTTAAATTTTAGATGAATCTATATTCCAGTATTCATGTAGATCATAAATGGGCTTTTGCTCTTATAAGAGCTACAGCTCTTATTAAAAAATGCTAGCGCTACTAATATTTCGGTTTGAAACTGAATTTTTTTTGCTTGTAAATACGTCATATATTTTATACAAGAATTTTAAATATTATAAAAAATTGTTAAATCATAAAAATACTGATATAAAAATTGTTTATACGTAAATGTTTATTATTCACACATTTATGTTTCGAAATTGATAAGACATCGATTCATAGAAGCACGTTGTGCAATATCCGACTTGTGACTCAATCGCAAGAAATATAGCATTTATAAGTACATTATTTGTTCGATTTATTATGAGTGCTAAATATTTAAACATAGAGTAAATTCTGAAAACTATAAATTGATAAAACAAATGAAACTTTATTTTATGCTTGTTGGAGAATAGAGTAATTTTTTTAAAGAGGAATGTACTACAATTAACTATAATATCGTGCAGCTTATTAAATTTATTTTTCCTTCATCGATTGATTTCTTTAAACAATTGCACCAATAATCGAACAAAAAGGCTCTCTACTCACCAATTCGGTTTTCACTTAGAGCATAGCACTTTTTTGCTGGTTCATAGATTAGTCAAATAAATCCATAGAGAAGAATAAAATAGATGAGAAGAATGTTGAAATAAAATATTTCGGGCATTTTATTGGGTGAAGTAAGTCGGCATTCTTTTTAAACTAAATCGCGAATTATTGCTAAATATTTTACATATTTGAAATTTTACCTAGTTGACATGACTTCAATACGTAGAAGTCCTGAGTTTCTAAATATGGCATATAAGTACCAACGTATTATGTTTTGTATACAACAGACCTTCTACTCACCGAAAAAGGTGTGACTGACACATTTGTTTATGCTAAGGCATCTTCCTTATTTGATAGTAATCCATGGAGAGCATCGATAAAACCATAGCTATATATTCACAATATAACTATGTGGTTGGGAGACTGAAGAATCAGATCAACTGAAGTGTGAAAGTCCATCAAGGTCATTTTAACCACCAGCTAATCTACTTATTTATTTATATCTAACGACTCTACACAAATGATTTTGACAGTAATAACATATTTTTGAGTATTCACCACACGATATATTGCGTATTGGTTCTAATACTTAATAATATTGTACTCGACTGGTATTTAGTCGATATAATAAATCGTTATTGAATTAAATTACTTCAGGTAGATGAAACAAAATTTTGGACAATACAAACTTTTACAAAACGAAATGGTCTCAACTTTAAATAAAAAAATTAATCTCAGTCGGTGTACTAAATTGCCATTGGTTTAATTCAAGCTTCTGCATTATAATAGTATATTAAAAACCGTTTGAATATATGGACCACAAAAACATGATACTGCTGCAGATACAAATCTGGAAATATTGCAATGCTTACAATCCCTAACATTTTGCTAAATCATAAAAATACTGTAATATATTATCAATAATCATTTGAACAGCTACAGTTTTATATAATTAACGTAACAACATCCAACCTGTGCCTGGGTTCAACCTAGTGTCAGCTTTATATGTCTTCAAAAGTCTAAGCATTAAATCTTGTAGGAACCTACTTGAAATTAGTTCTAAGTATGCACCATTTTTCCATTTATTCACAATTGATAACATTTGTTTCGAATAAAAATCTCAAAGAACATATTAGTTGTGACTAATATTAGACGGATGCTCATTAACTAATAAACAAAAATATTAAAAATAACTCATATCGCCCTACTATTTATATAGTTGCATATATACCTTATGGTTTGTCTTATCAAAAATAAACAATGTTATTTCCCTTACTTTTTCCCTGTTTTCCCTCTCTCATTGTCTCTTTCTTACTCTTTTATTCTCTCTCTGCACTAAGCATAAAATTGTTACAAAGTTAATCAACTATTAGTAATAGACTATTACTTAATATAATAAGTAAAATTATATTTTGAAGTCAGGGTCACGAAACTATACAAAATTTGTACTCAACCGGTAGTAGTTTTAGTCAGATTATTAATATAGCAATTCACATAAATAATTGCAACTTATTATATATTTGTTATGGTTGTGAATTTCTCATTTTCAACTTAAATAAAAATAAATAACAAAACTTAGTGACGTCACTGTGTCGATCAATTGAGAAGTGACTTACTCATTCATTCCAACAAAAAGCTGACCACAAAGAAGACTACTTATCAAGAACTTTGATAAGTGCGGCATTAAACATTTTTTACTATATTATATATTATTTATTACCTCAGTAAACATCGATTTGTTTAAGCAAATATGCAGAAAAAATGTTAAGGTATTTGAGAACATAAGTCAGCACAAATATTGGTGCTCTGAACTCAGGTAAAGTGAATAACTGAATTAGTTCAAATTAAGTATCGAGCGCGGACGCCTCGCATTGCACGTCTCGACAATAACTGACGAGTAGACAATTTACAAAAATGTGATTAATACAAAAAATGATAATATCTTAAAGCCACAAATAAACTCAAACAAAAGCGAATTTATAAAAGATTAATTACACACTTATAAAGATACACATTTTTAGAGCCAACCAAAAAGAAATAAGATAGTGCTTGAAAAATGAAGTTTCAGATACTAATATTGTTTGCAGTGATTTCTTTTACAAGTGGTCGCAAAGTAACAATTCGGGAAATGCAAGACTATAACATAACAGACTTTAACAAAACTCCAGAGTCCAGAGAAAGTAAAGAAGAGCAAATTGAGCCATTAATAAGAAAACATTATTGGGGTCAATTTCCAATGGAACATGAACCTCCTGAACCTCCTGTACTAGTAACTGAAAATAATCATAAAAAGAATACTTC